AAAAAAAAAGGATGTATGTATGAGTGATGAAATTAATTTTTATTTTCTTATCATTTGTCTTCTTGAATTGCAGATGCATCGTTTCTTTTTTTTTTTTCGATTAAAACAATCATATAGCTATGATAAAACATACATATATGTCTCTCGCATTCTTTTTTTTTTCTAAAAGGTCTTCTCAAATGAATATGAGAACTTGCGCTCACGCATGTAATTCTATTTTAGCATACTATATCATGATATAGTTTCTTTTTTTTTTTTTTTTCGTTTCATTCGTATAAAAAACAAAAAAAGCCTATAACAATTAGAAATAATTCTGTTTTTGTACACTGACACTCGCTCTCGAAAAGATCATTTTTTCGGTTATGACTGTTATTATTGGGTACTCATAAAATAAGCGAGAAGAGAATACAAGATGGAATTACTTTTTTCTCTCTCTCTCTCTCTTTTTGTTTCCACCAATCCATATTCATTTCTTTTTTTTGCTTTCATATATATATATATAATAGAATCCTCCAACTAGTACAAATAAGAAACTTAATCTATCAGTTACTTCATCACATTCAAATACAACACAACAAACATCATCATCAGTACCTGATCGAAAACGTCCATATAACGTATCCGTTGATCCAGCACGATATCGTCGTGTACCTGATCCAGATGATGCAACAGCTGGTAATATTAATATAAAACTGTTGACAAATTCGAAATTTTGAGCAAAACAAAAAAATTTTTTTTTTTTTTTTTCGTAACCTATAAAAATATTATTTTCAATATAATATTTATTCGCACTTGGTTTTTATTATTATTATTATTGTACTCCTTAGAAAAAAAGATCCCGATAGCAATTGCTCGACTTTAGGCGATGAAGCACAAGTCAGAGTATAAGGATCGAAATTCGTTTTAAGTATTGAATATGATTTGGAATAGAAGTTCCTATGGTCAGAATATAAAGACTAGGGTCCGTCGAATATATCTCGGACCCGATCAGGATCCCCAAGTTGTTGATTCAGTGAGCTCTACTGACAAGGAAATGATCCATGCCGTTTAGGGAAAAACTGAAGAACGAAATTTCAATCTTGTCATAACTTTCGAAGGAAGACTCATGGGCATATTTTTCTTAGAATACTGTCTCCCGATATATGGACAAAATATCATTGAAAACGGCGTGGATCAGTTGGAGATCTTCTCTTGTAAGAATAATTATGACGAGTAAAATCAAAAAAACCAAGTTTTTGAATAAATATTATATTGAAAATAATATTTTTTAATGATAATCCCTCGAGTTCTATTCAACTACATTGAAAAAAAAATTTTTGCTAAAATTTCGAATTATTGTTATCTTAATAGAAAAGGATAATACGAAATTCTATTCTTACTTTTTTTTCTTTTTTAATTTTAGTAAAATTTGCTTGTTCATTATGTGGTAATTTATATAAATGGAGAAAAAGTTTAAATAAACATTGGAAAGAAAAACATAACGACGAAAGTCCACCACCACTTGACGCACCTGTTACTATTCGTCCATCAAAATCATCATCAAATACAACAATTCAAACAAAAATATCTAATCGTACAAGTGAAATGTTACCACAAACATCAACATCAACATTAGTACCACCACCACCACTTCCATCACTACCTCCACCACCACCTCATCATCCAGCATTTCCATTTAATCCATATTCATGGATTAATTTTGCATCACGAACTGATTTTCAACAAATTTATTCACCATCAACATCTATAGATCAAACATCATTAAATCTTCCATTAGATTTAACAATAAAATCAACTAAAAAACTAACAACAACAACAACACCATCATCTCCAATATCTATTGAACAAAATCCAATAAAAAAATATCATCGTGATAGTAATAGTAGTAATGATGAACAACGTGATAGTTCAAATTATAATCAAAATGATAGTGATAATGATATTGATGATGATGATTGTCATTCTGAACATGCATCATCATCAAGTCCACCAAATTCTTATGGACAAAAAATATTTATTTGTTCTATATGTGAACAACGTTTTCTTGCTATTGAAACAATAAATGAACATTTTTTAAAAAATCATTTAATGGAATTAGAAAATGAAATATCTGGTAAATCGCCACCACGTAATACAAATGTTGCACAACAAAATGAAGAATGGAATTTAAGTGATCCAATTAATCCATTAAAATGTATACAATGTGATTTTATTGGTCGTTGGCCAACTGAATTACAAAAACATGCTGCATCACATTCAACATCACGACCATTTAAATGTCTTGTTTGTTCATTAACATATAAATGGCGTTGGGATTTAGCTAAACATTGGGATCGTGCACATGCATGTGGTGTTAAAGGTATTAGTTTAATAAATCCATATAAAAAACGTGATCGTGATCAAGCACGTTCAATGATGGAATTAACACCAACACCATCAACAACAACAAAAATTAATGGTGATCATCATTCAACATGTTCATCAATATCATCAACATCAACAATTAAAAAAAATTCATTAAGAAATTCTGATGATGATGAACATAGTCAACATTCAATTATATCGGATAATAATGATGAACAACAACAACAACAACAACAACAAATTAAACGTATTAAACAAGATGACGAAAAAATTCTACCATTATTACCAACATTTTTACCACCACCACCTCCACCACCGCCAACAACAACAGCAACACCAAATATATTTTTTCCACCACCATCATTTTTTTCACATCATCCAATGTTTTCATCATTTCTTAATCCATCATTATTACTTCAACCAAAATTTAATTATCCATCACGTTCATCACAAATATCAATGAATACAAATTTAGATTTATTTAAACAAGCATCAGCTTTTGTTCAACGAACTAAATCACCAAATTCATCAAGATCATCATCACCACGAACATCATCACCTTTACATCAACAACAACGAATGCATGCTGTTGCTGCTATGGTTGCAGCAGCTAATGGAAATAGTAATCATCTTCGTAATCAACATTCTCAACAGCAACCACAACCACAACAACAACAACAACAACAACAAAGAAAATTTGAAAAAGAAGAAAGAAATTTTCAATGTCGATGGTGTGATTATCGTGGTAGATGGAGAAGTGAATTAATTCAACATATGAGATGTCATCATGCTAGAGATAAACCTTATCATTGTTCAGCTTGTCCATATGCTTCAAGTTGGAAATGGGATGTTCAAGTAAGAAAATTAAATTCGTTATTTTTTTTTTGAAATATGATCTAAACAAACAAAAAAAAATGTTGAAGTAAAGATCATGTCAATTGATATACGATCAACTAATGTCTTGTTGTAATATATGAATTACTTTCTTAACCTTTTTATGGTCAGCGGTACACATATGTATCACTTTTTTTTGACCAGAGAACTATAATGAATTAGTGCATAAATGGGATTCATTTCTGGCTATTCGAGTTAAAATTCAAAGAAAATGATGTTATATACAGTAAAATCTCTCTATAGTGGACATACTTCGGACTTTTCAAAAGTGTCTATTATGAAGAGGTTAAGTATTTTTCAAGAGCAACGTCTTTTTCGAAGAAGTAGACATGGTTTCTAGGCATTTGAAGTATCAGATAATTGGAGATAGCGTGACGGATATGAAATTTCTTCAGTCAACCATTTGAAGCTTCGAATATATCTAGTGGATGTCTCAACTCTTCGGCAAATTGCCTTGATTTTTCTTGTAGAATAACTCCTAAAATGGCGATCTATTTAGATCGTTGCACAGTAAATCATTCGAAGACGAGTTGATCGATACTTTGATCATTTTCATCGTTATACTTTCGTTTTATGCCTTTGTTCTAGTTAGAAGTATAATCAGAGAAGAATTCTTCTCAATGATGAAGAATGTTTTCTATACTACTTTTTAATACATTGTATTTGTTAGCTAGTTTTCATATTGATAAATCACGACTATTTTGATTGTCTTTGATTAGTACAATCTTTTGTTCCAGAATCGAATCTTGTCGATTCGACATAATGTTCTCTTTTTCTTAATTACAGTAACAAAATGACATAAATATTTCAATACGACAGACGTATCTTTTTTTCGTTCAGCCATCTAATCAATAAAGAAGAGTCACATTATGTTGTGTGATCGATGATAGTCATTGCGACATTTTCTTTGAATTTATAACTAGTGTCCACTATGCAAGGTTTTACTACATTTTCTTTTTTTAGCTGCACAATAAATAAAGAAAATGAGAATTTGAACGATTCTCATAGACAGAAAAAAAGAAGAATGACCTATATATATATAT